ATAGAAATGGCCACTCCTGAGAATAATGGTTATCACAGAATCTGAGCTAAGCCCCAGGCCTCTTCAGGATGCCATCAATCCTCGCATCCATAGAGAAGAGCCCACAACAAGGCTAGTGGAAGAGCTACAAGAGATATGTGTAAGCGAGGAAGATCCAACTCACGTACTAAAATCAGCAGCAGCCTGAGCAAAGACATGGCCAACAACCTGGCAGGGTTTTTGAAGAAAAACCTCAACATTTTCGCATGGGTGCATGCAGATATGGTAGGGATCAACCTCGAGGTAATGTGTCATAGGCTGAACATTGAATCGAAAGCTCGACCAATAAGACATAAAAGAAGGTTTATGGATGCAAAGCATTCCAAAGCGCTCAAGGATGAAGTTGATAAGCTCCTGAACATCAACTTCATCAGGGAAGTGAAGTACTCGGATTGGCTCGCCAACCTAGTCCTAGTTAAGAAGCCGAATGGCAAGTGGCAAACTTGCGTCGACTTCACAAATCTGAATAAAGCTTGTCCAAAAGACAAATTTCCCCTACCATGGATTGCCCAGCTAGTAGACGCGACAGCTGAAAATGCACTACTTAACTTCATGGATGCGTACTCGGGATATAATCAAATCCCGATGTACCAGCTTGATGAAGAACATACTTCTTTTATTACTAACCATGGAATTTATTTTTATAGGGTTATGCCATTTGGTCTCAAAAATGCTAGGACGACCTACCAACGCTTGGTGAACAAGATGTTTGCCGACCAAATTGGCAAGACCATGGAGATATATATCGACGACATGCTCATCAAGTCAAAGGTCACCAAAAGCTATATTAAGCTTGGGGAAAATGTTTGACATCTCAAAAGATACCGAATGATGCTCAATCCTTTAAAATGTGCTTTTGGAGTGAGCTCAGGGAAATTTTTTGGCTTCCTTGTAAACCAACGGGGTGTTGAAGCCAACCCGGAGAAGATTCAACCTCTGCTCGATATGAAGAGCACAACCAGCATAAGGTAGGTACAGAGCTTGAGGGGCGTGTGGCCGCACTCAGCAGGTTTGTTTCTTAAGCCACATACAGATGCTTACCATTCTTTGAGACCTTGAAGGGGAAGAAAGATTTCAAGTGGACATAGAAGTGTGAAAGAGCTTTCTAGGAGCTTAAGAAACATTTGGGACAACCTCCTTTATTATCAAAACCCGTCTAGGGTGAGCCATTGCTATTATACTTGTCAGTATCAAAGTCTGCTATCAACACGGTGTTGGTACGCAAAGAGGGAGGAGTGTAATGGCTGGTATGCTATGTGAGCAAGAGGCTGCTCAATGCAGAGATGAGATATCTTGAAATAGAGAAGCTCACCTTCGCCTTTGTCATCATTGCTAGGAAGCTGCAACCTTATTTCCAAGCACACTTCATTCACATGCTAACCAACTTTCCGCTGAAGAAAATAATGCAAAAGCCAGAGACATCAGGTAGATTGATCTAGTGGACAATGGAAATGAGTCAACACGATATCAAGTACATCCCGAGAACAACAATCAAAGGTCAAGCCTTGATAGATTTTATATCAGAATTCTCCTATCAATAGGAAGGTGAACCAAGCCCGCTAGGGGCATATATCTTGGGAGAAGTTAAGCAACAAAAACCAAAGCTCGATGACCTATGGCAATGGACTTTATATATGGATAGCTCCTCGAATGAGAAAGGGCAAGATTGGGGCTCTTGCTTGAAAGTCTAGAGGAAACCCGATCAGAGCCATAGTAAGATTCGAGTTTGCCACCTCCAACAACGAGGCTGGATATGAGGCGTTGCTCACAGGGATCTACTTTGCTAAAAAATAGGGCAAAGTCCATTAAGATTAATAGTGATTCACAGCTCGTAGTCCACCAAACTACCGAGGAATACCAACGAAGGAAAACAGGATGGCATCCTACCTCCAACTACTGGAAACCAAGCTCAAACAGTTTAGATCCTTCACAATTCTCCAGATCCCGAGGGAGAAGAACTTGGTAGCAGATGCTTTAGCCCACTTAGCCTCTACAATGAACCAAGAGAAAGTTGATTCTATCCTAGTTAAGTTCCTCCAAAGACCAAACATCTCCACTCCATAAGGACCAGTTTTAGCAACAAGACAGAGATATAGTTGGATGGACACAATCACTGCCTACCTAAGGGATGGTACACTACCAGAGGAGAGAACTGAAGCTAGAACACTTCGCACAAAGGCATGTCGGTACACGTTCATCAATGATAAATTGTACAAACTCAGTTTCAATGTATCGTTATTGCGATGTATCAACCATGAGGATGCGGATTATGTTCTAATGGAGATCCATGAGGGAATTTGTGGAAATCATGCAGGAGGTAGATCTCTAGCATACAAAGTGCTTCGCCAGGGGTATTATTGGCCAATAGTTTTTGACGATGTAGCTGACTATGTGCGCAGATGTGATAGATGCCCAAGGTTTGTAGATACTATGCGAGCTCCACCTCAAAAATTGACTACTCTGACAAGCCCTTGGCCATTTGCGATCTGGGGCATCAACCTGATTGACCCCTTGCCTCAAGGAAAAGAAGGTGTCAAGTTTGTAGTGGTTGCTGTTGACTATTTCACCAAGTGGGCAGAGGTTGAGCCCTTGGCTATCGTCACATCAAACAAGCTGAAGGATTTTGTTTACAAAACCATTATTTGTCGGTTTAGAATCCCCCACACCATAATAATCGACAACGAAAAACAATTCGACAGTGAAGACTTTAGATCTTTCTGTCACAATGGCCAAGAACCTTGTTTTTCATGGCCGATCAAAGCATATAAAGGTCAAGCATCATGTTGTTCGAGAAGCCAAGTAGAACAAAGAGGTGAAGATCATTCATAATAGATCTAAAGAACAAGCAGCAAATAGTTTGATTAAGACGTTAAGTATATCTAAGTTTGAAGAGCTCTGGTTTAGACTTGGTGTTTCTAGCAAAGATATCAAGGAGAAGTGTTAAAGCAAGTGATATCTTGCTGGAAGAATGATAATGCGATATGTATGCCCACTCGATCTGAAGCATGCGATCAAGTGTTTAAGCTAAGATGAATGAGAGCTATAGATAGATGTGATCGATAACGATCTGAAGAGAATGTGACCTAAAGGGCATGCGAACTGAAAAAAGCAACCAAGAGGTAATGCGACCTATAAGCAATGCAAGCAAGAATCCATGCGATCAAATGTGCATGCAATCAGTTTCATTATGCGACCTGAAAAAGGTAAATGATTCAGAGCTAATCTAGAAGGTGTCAGAGTTGGTTAACTACCCAAAGTAGTTTAGGGATGTCTAACAGATTTAGTATTAGTTATGAATGTATGGCTCTGTGATAATATCTTATAAATATCTCTGTAGAGTTTGTATGTCCATGATGTCAATGATGATGTCAAATGCTTGTATATAATCTTTGATGAAGTTAATGAAAAAGTAGACAAGTTAAGAAAGACGAAATATCTGGCAAACATTCTCTGAAAAACACTTGTCTTTCAGAAAAACTAAAACTTGTGTTCTTTTCCTTTGTATTCTTTAGCTTGTAAACCAACATTTCTACTCATGTTAAATGTCAAAGGTTAGCTACATTATTTTTGCATTGACCTCTCTTAGAGTTTGTATTACAATCACCATGGATCCATTGTATATATGTTGATGCTATTTTAGACTATTAGAATAAGCAGCATAGATTGTCTAGGCATTTTTGTTGCAATCACGAGATCACATTTAAATTTCTCAAGATTTATAGTCAGTATCAATTATATATCCTGGTGTCTGCAAAATAGCCTACAGTTTAGAACTCTGTATTTGATCGATAGATGAAGAAGACAAACTACAATTTATTAACTGTTAAAAATCAGAATCTATTCTAATACCATGTTAAAAATCTAAATCTGCTCTGATACCGTGTTAAAAACTGGAGGAGTAAAACATAATATAAACAAAAGCAATAACAACACATGCGAAGAATATCGCACACAAAGGCACACGATATTTTACGTGGTTCAGCATAACTTGCCTACATCCACGGATGAGAGAGATCCACTATAATTCTATGAATACGGTACAAGTGCTCATCACACCATCAACCTAGTACCCTTACATGGGTAGACATCTTGTTCCTATGGTGTTTAATACCTTGTGACATTTTTTTGATACCCGTGGTACCCTTACATTAAAACCCCTTGTATCATCACATTCTCTCTTTCTCTTATTCCTTGTCTCATAACCTTGAATTAGTTCTAACCCCTCTATTTATAGGTAAAATAGTGCATTCTTTTTTTCTACTAGGATTCATATTTCAAATCATAATAGGATTCCTCTAATTTAATTCATTCTCCTATTTTAACACTAAATAAAATCCTAAACCAATTCTCTTTCCTAATACAACTCAAAGTAAAAGGAAAACAAATATTCTCCAATACAAATTCCTCAACCAGAAATTTGCCTAAAACTTAAATTCTTTTTTCTTCTTGCTTGCTTTTCTTCATCAATTACCAAAAAGTGTTCACATTCCAACATTAACTATCAAACAAGTAAACACATTTGAAAGTTATAACTACATTTGCTTTCATTCTAATGATGTATATGTAGGCCACAAGATATAAAGAGGGGTTATCATGACAATTGACAACAACTAGGCTTAATTAAGCTTAAATTCAGTGTTCACTTATAATTAAATGCAAATGGGCAGCTGATGCCTTTCTACAAATAACCAAATAGATAACGTGGAGAGAAAGGGAAATGAGGTAAAAAGCATTGCTCTGCTCAAAGTAAAAATCATATAGTACTTTGTGCCATCTACCTTTTATCACCTATAGATTCACAACTTACTATAAGTACTGTATTCTTTTAGGCATTTCTTTTTCACAGTAAGAAATTAATGAATGTAATAAGTAAAGGGTCATGAAAATGGCAAGGCAAGAGAAAACAAACAACCACAACAATGATGGCGGTGTATGAACATAGAGAACGGTGCTACATCAACTTAAAATTGTTGTACCTAAAACACAAAATATTAAGTTAGTAAAGCAATGACAAAAGCATAGGATAGGATGTTGAATATTTTTGTCAAACTTATGTTATGTATGTGCACAGGTATGTCAAACTTATGCTTTTAACAATTTCATTTTGAGTGTGTGCACAGATGATGTGTGGTTGCACTCTTATGTCAGACATATGCATGTTGAAATTTATTTTGCATTTTATCGCGCTTGTGTGCACACTTCGTTTCTATGCTAACATCTGAATGTCTAATTCAGTTTGTGCAAGTTGCGTTTTTCCATTATCTACTAAGATTTTTTTTTCTTATTTGATGTGTGTTGAGGATAATAACCAGAAATCCTCCAAGAGAGATTTCAACATGATCAAGAAACGCCAAGAAGAATACAGCAAAACAAAAATAGGAGAAAACAGGAAGAAGAAAGAAGCACAAGTGATTTACTTGGTTTGGATTGTACAAAAGAATCCTACTCCAAGGCGGGGTTTTAAGGCCCTAGATCATCCACTATAATGAAGTCTGATACAACCACTAATCTGAAAATTACAATATGAAAGACTATCTCTCACGGCTCTCTCTATTTCAGTACTAACATAAAGTACAGACCACCCTCTTTATACGTGAGCCTATGACGAAGTGTATTAGAAGATTTTGGAGGTTATCAGAGCTGTGTGATATTAGCCAGGTTAGTTAGCAAATAACTAACGTAACAAACACTAGCCATGCAGCTGAATAACCGTCTTACTCTCTTAACAAATAAGAGGCATTATCCAACAATCTCCACCTTGACTCTTATTTACATGGTAAACCAAAATAGGTACCCTGCATGCCCTTCCAAAACTACTAAGTTTTCTAAACTCCTAGGAATTCCAAAGCTGAGTGAAGCTTGCTGGTTGGAACTCCTTTCGTCAGTATGTCAGCCGGGTTTGTTAACGTAAAGATCTTTTTCATTTTCACAAATCCTTTGTCTATTATGTCCCTGATAAAATTCAGCTTAACGTCTATGTGTTTGGTTCTTTCGTGGTACATGTTGTTTTTGGTTAGGTGAATAGCACTTTGAGAGTCGCAGTGAACATGGATACATTCCTGTTGCAGGCCGAGTTCATTGACTATTCCTTTCAACCAGAGAGCTTCCTTCACTGCTTCTGTAATGGCTATTTACTTAGCTTCTGTGGTAGAGAGAGCAACCACATGCTGAAGAGAGGACTTCTAACTCACCAGATTTCCTCCAATCATGAACATATAACCTGTTAGGGATCTTCTTTTGGTTAAGTCACCTGCATAGTTTGAATCACAATATCCTTCTACTTCAATCTTGGAGTAGTCTGACCTAGTGTACTTCAAACCAATGTCAATGGTGCCCTTCAGATACCTTAGAATCCATTTAGTAGCTTCTGAGTGAGCCTTCTCTGGTTTGTTCATGAACCGACTCACCAAGCTAACTCCATATGCAGTATCAGTTCTGTACATACCATTGCATACATGAGGCTCCCCACAGCACTTTGATAAGGAATATCTTTCATATCCACATCTTCTTCAGATGTAGCAAACTCATCAATGGGAGTTGTAACAGGTTTGGCTTCTACCATATCAAAGGCCTGAATTATTTTTCTAACGTAGCCTTTTTGAGATAGAGCTAGACCTTCTTTGGTCTGTCCCTATTGATGTCAATCCCAAGGATCCTGTTAGCTCTCCCTAGATCCTTCATTTCAAACTCAGATTTGAACTTATCTTTCAAAGCTTGGATATATGTTTTATCATGACAGGCAATGAGCATATCGTTTACATATAGCAGGAGATAGATGTAGTTGTTGTCATTTAGCTTTTAAAAGTAAACGTAACTGTCATGGTAGCTTCTTTTGAACCTTTGTTTGAGTATGAATTCATCAAAACTTTTGTACCATTGGCGGGGAGACTGCTTTAGATCATAGAGGGACCTCTTCAGCAAACACACTTTGTTTTCTTCCCCTTTCTTGATGAAACCTTCAGGTTGAGCCATGAGAATGTTCTCCTCCAGATTCCCATGTAAGAAGGCAGTTTTTACATCAAGTTGTTCCAGTTCCAGGTCCTTTATGGTAGTGATGGCAAGGATGATTCTAATTGATGTGTGCTTAACAACCGGTGAAAACACATCACGATAATCGACTCCTTCAACTTGTGAGTAACCTTTTGCCACAACTCTAGCTTTAAATCTAGCTTTCTCTCCCCCTAGAATTTCTGGTTTTCTCTTGAAAATCCATTTGCAGCCAATAACTTTCTGATTCTTTTGCTTTTCCACTAGAATCCAAGTCACATTTTTGGTGAGAGACTTCATTTCCTCATCCATGGCTGTTTTCCAGTGTAGCCTATCTTTGCTTTTGTAGGCTTCGAAATAGGTTCTTGGCTCTTCTATATTAACGAAGTCAGCCACATTCAAAGCATATGCTATCAGCTCTGTGTGGGAAAAAGTATGTGGAGGGGCTATGGTTTGAGCATATCTGGCAGGTCTGGTCACTTCCCTTCTGACTCGATCTCTAGCCAGCTGATAGTTCATAAGGTCACTGCTTTCTGCTACAGCTCCACCTTCTTCTTCTGGTTGCTGAATGTCACTCACGTCTGCTGATGTATTCTCTTCATTCTCTTCATTCTCAAGGTCATCTTCTCTTGAAGGTGTTTCGAATTTTCACTCAGCTCCACCTCAATCTGAGTAAGGGCTGTTGTTTTCTCTTTTGGTTCCTGCATGTTAGTCTAATACGATACTAGCTCATTGAAAGTAACATCTCTGTTTATTATGGTTTTATTTTCAGAGATTATCCACACTTTGTACCCTTGACACCTTGAGGATATCCTAAGAAAATGCACCTTTTAGCTCTTGGATCTAACTTTCCTTGTTTAGAGTGAACAAAGGCAATGCAACCAAATATTTTTAGGTGCTGATAACTTGGGGATCTATTAAACCATTTTCCTTCAGGGTTTGTGAAACCTATAGCCGAACTAGGTGACCTATTAATCAGATAACAAGCAGTGTTAGCTGCTTCAGCCCAAAACCTTTTCAACAAACCAGAGTCTACTAACATGCATCTCACTTTATCCAAGATCGTCCTGTTCATTCTCTCAGCAATACCATTTTGCTGAGGGGTATAGGTGCAGGTCTTATGTCTAGTGATCCCATTAGCCACACACAAGTCATCAAATTCCTTATTACAATATTCCAGTCCATTATCAGTCCTTAATGTCTTAATTTTCTTTCCAGTTTCAGTTTCAACCAAGTTTTTCCATTCAATGAATTTACTAAGGGCTTCACTTTTTTGTTTCAGAAAGTATATCCAGACTTTTCTAGTGAAGTAATCAATGAAACTAATGAGATATTGATTCCCGGATAAAGACAAAGGAATTTGGGTTGAACCCCATAAGTCAGAGTGGACATATTCAAGCACATCACAGGATTTATAAGAAGCGTTAGGAAATTTGAGTCTATGAGCTTTACCAAACGTGCAGCTTTCACAGAAGCCAAGATCTTTTATTTTCTCTGCTTTTATCAGACTTTGCTTGCACAATTCTTGAAGACCTTTTGAGCTGATATGTCCCAATCTCCTATGCCAGGTAATCATCTCATCTTGTTCTATGGTGGTCACGGCAGCTTTCCTAGTAAGGACTGTTCCTTGTAAGATGTACAGACCATGCTTCATAGTCCCCTTCATCACCATCTCTTTATCCTTGAAGACTTTGAGAGAACCTCCACCTGATGTATACGTTAACCCCTTTGTATCGAGCAAACTCAAGGAGACCAGATTTCTTTTCAAGTCTGGAACATATCTAACTTCCTGAAGAGTCTTTAAACTGCCATCCCACATCCTGAACTGGATTGAACCAATACCAGAAACTTCACATGTCATGTCATTTCCCATAAGCACTTTACCTCCATTCATGGACTGATACGTATAGAACCAACCCCTCCTAGGTGTCATGTGATAGGTACATGCTGAATCCAATATCCAGTCTTTGTGATCATCAATAGAGGACACCGTTAGAGCAGTGGCAACCTCACTTTCTGCAACAGCAGCAATGACCTTTGAGTTTCCATTTTCTTTCAGTTTCTTGAGCCTTGATTTGCAAAATCTTCTGATATGACCTTCTTTATTGCAAAAATAACATATCAACTTCTTGTTAAAGTACGATTCTTGCTTGTTTTTGTGACAGTTCTTACCCCTCTTGGTATACTTCTTTTCTGGTCTTGCGTTAACATAGAGACCATCACCATTCCCTTTTCTTTCAGCCTTAATCTCAAGATCTCTTATCCTAAGGGCAGCTATCACATCATCTAGAGATACATTTTCTCTGCCATACTTAATGGCATTTTTGACATCTTTATAAGAATTGGGTAAAGAGTTTAACAAAAGAATAGCCTGAGTATTATCACTTAGTTCTTCACCACTGTCAGTAAGATCAATCACCAATTTTTGAAAATCATCAAGATTATCTTCCAAGGATTTTGCAGAGTCTATTCTAAAACTGAAGAGTTGTTCCTTTATATATGCAATTCCAGGAACTGATTGGGACATATATAAAGATTCAAGTTTAAGCCAGACCTTAGCAGCTGTGTCTTCATTTCTGACTTTTCTCATCACACTATCAGATAGGTTCAAGATGATGGTACTGTAAGCGAGTTCCATCATATCTTCCTTTTCCATTTGAGTCAAACTTGGAGGCATGTTCTTCTCTCCACTAAGGGCACGATGGCATTTCTGTTGCACAAGAATTGCCTTCATCTTTTGTCTCCAAAGGACAAAATCTATCTTCCCGTCAAATTTCTCAACTTCAATCTTCGTACCACCCATTTCTGAAATCTCTTCTTCTTCTGCAGAACAACTCTTACTCTTCAGGAAACAATCAATCTAAAGCTCTGATACCAATCTGTTGAGGATAATAACCAGAAATCCTCCAAGAGAGATTTCAACACGATCAAGAAACACCAAGAAGAATACAGCAAAACAAAAATAGGAGAAAACAAGAAGAAGAAAGAAGCACAAGTGATTTACTTGGTTCGGATTCTACAAAAGAATCATACTCCAAGGCGGGGTTTTAAGGCCCTAGATCGTCCACTATAATGAAGTCTGATACAACCACTAATCTGAGAATTACAATATGAAAGACTAACTCTCACGTCTCTCTATTTCACTACTAACATAAAGTACAGACCACCCTCTTTATACGTGAGCCTATGATGAAGTGTATTAGAAGATTTTGGAGGTTATCAGAGCTGTGTGATATTAGGCAGGTTAGTTAGCAAATAACTAACGTAACAAACACTAGCCATGCAGCTGAATAACCGTCTCACTCTCTTAACAAATAAGAGGCATTATCCAACAATGTGCTGTCATGAGGACCACTTACAGGTGTCCTAAAATCCTCAAGTGGTCCAGGGAATTAGCTTTTTTCCCATTTTGGTTATGGTCCCAAAAGTTTGGTGGAATCTTTTCCCTTTTTGGACCAACTCCTGACACCTTTGTCTGCTGACTTGGCAAGAATTGTTAAGCAAGAAATATCTCTGTATTATCTTCATTCTTGTGTCTCTTTGAACTAACCTGAATATCCATTTTGTTGGTGCTCTGAACTTTTCAAAGAGTTGTTTTCTTGGTCAGGTTCATTTTTTATGGATTTGTGATAAAACCATTTTGTTTATCTTCTTTGTTGAATGGCAACTGAAACGAGATTCCATTGTTGATGTTGAGCATGTCTTCAGGGTGTGAAGCTTGGAAGGAGCTCAAGCTTGTCTGGGATATCGAGTTCCTGGTGTGTGAAGCAATCCAAGAGTGATGAAGCATTAGGGAATTAGAGGGTGGTGTTTAGTGTATTGTTGAATAGAGAGTTCTCTTTGCTGTATCTAAAATCAACTATAAATGTTTTCTTGTAATGTTTGATGTTATAGTGGATTAGCTTCGGTCTGGATGAGGTCCCATGGATGTAGGCTAAGAGTGGTTTTAGCTGAACCATGTATATGTTTGTGTTCTTTGCGTTTTCTTTCTTATGGTTTTCATTTGCGCTTAACGTGATAATGTTTAATCAACATGGTAAAAACATTTTTGCTGTGCTATTAAAAATGGGTACCTAAACGTTTAATAGAGTTCAGTAACTCTAAGATAGGAGATTGGGCAAAACAAAGCATCATGTGTTCATTAGCTAGCCACAAGATATTAACTGCAATACAGTTGCCAAATGAATCTGTTTTCTCAGAAAATTATACTTCAATTTTCAAGGACAAACTCAAAAATATTTGAATGCTCAATGGCATCAAGTAACAAAGGATATACACATAAAATTATAAACATAAAATACTTTTTGTGGATGCAAAACAACTAAGTTCCTCACATTTTGGAGTTTGGTGTTTGGTTTTGTCCCATACATATCAGTTATTAGTTTGTGAAGAAAGACACTAGACTGTTTGATGGAGTAACCCATTCACCTTCTTACGTCCAATGCGCGACTCAATCGAAGTATAATCTGAATTACCACAAAACCTTCATATGTAACAGATTTATTTTTTTAGGTCAATTTGCAGGCTTCACGAGTCTACCCAAATTCAAGTCTGCACAATAAAAACGTACATAAC